TGAATAATATAATATTTATATATATATATATAAGCTGCTTGAGTCAAAATGTATAGTTTGTTTTGAAAAATAACCTACGCTAAAAGTCTGTAATTAAGCGAGAGACCTCTGTCTCCAATGGATAGACGAGATATAAAAGTTTTTAAAGAACAGGGATCTAGAACATGACGTTATCGAAACCCGGTTTCTAGCGTTGCAAGTCTGCAGACATACCGCTATGCCACTGGGGAGCGTATTTAATTCTATGTTCACTAGCTAAAGATTGTTTACTCGTAATCCCAGTTTCAGTTAAATTTTGATCCATTTTCAGTATCAAATGTTAGTATTTACGTTATACTTATTATCTCAATGTTTTATGTTTTGTTTCCTTATATCTCCAATTAGCTTCCCCTCTCAGTAGCTCAGCGGTAAAGTTGAGAGCTTATAACGCTAAAATTCAAAGTCCGATTCATGCATAACTAGTTGTCAGGACTTGAAAAGTTTGGACTCTTCGAGTAAGAACAAAATATATTACAACTTTTTTTCTAATAGTTTTAAGAACGAACCACGTCTGATCTTTATAAAGCTGTAGTATTTAAATTTATGATTTATTTCATTATTATTTAGAATGTTGAAAATAATGGTCTTATCACTTTTGTGGATATATACTTATTGTAAAAAACAACAACAACCGTTACATTCCTACAGTAAAAGTGCTACAATACGATGTGATTAACACACAAGTGATAAGTTGTTTTCTATTTAGATGTGAGAAGTGTGTCAAAAGTCAGGAATCAATGAGTAAAGTATTCGTTTCACGGTTGGGCTCGTAATTCTATTTTGTGCCTTGTTAACGACTTTTAATAAAATTGCCGTTAATTCTGACTTTTGGTACACCGTTTAGTGTTTTTTCATTGAAAAAGAAAATGACACATATTAGTTATATAGATCTTGAGATAATGATACACATTATATAACATAATTATGTTAACTTACTTCTCGTCCTCTGTTCTTCCAATAATTGCTTTTCCAGGGTTTCGCGGAGCTCGCGCTCCCTGGTTATTTCAACCCGCAGTTCCACTGTAATACATATAAGGATATTAAGTTTTAGTTTCTTTATCACAATAAACATTTTTATTCCTATTTGACAGTTTCACACATCCTTAAATATACTATTTTCATGTCTGCGGAAACATTACCATATAAGTAATATGCAGCTATTATCTCCATATTTAGCCCCCTAGCGGCTCAACGGTAAGTCTGAGGAATCATACCACTAAAATCCAAGTTTCGATACTCGTGGTGGGCACAGCATAGACCATTATGTAGCTTTGTGCATAATAACAAACAAATCTCCATATTGCATTGCCAAAGTTTCCAAAGACAGTATTTTATTTTTGGATGTCAAAACACGTATTTCATTGAAATACTTAATGTAGTGCAAAGTTCGATATTCAGTAGAAAATTTTAACGTAATATATATTTCTATAATTTTCATATGTAGATCTTTGGCTTTGTTAGAGCATTACTTTACTAGACTTACATTGTATTAGCACATTCATAACTTTATTACAGAAATAAGCAGCTAATAACCTTCTCTATAGTTCTAAATATTTAGATATTTCTTTTCCGAAACTAACCTTTTTCTAAATTAAGTTGTCTTTCTTGATGTCTAGCGTTGTCAGCCGCCATTTTTAAAAGCCCTTGAATGTTTCTTAGCAACGTCTCTATTGAAAATACAGCCTGGCCCATGGTGGCGGTTCCATCATTTTGGAATGGCAGCCCATGATTGGATGTAAGCCTATCTGTGTTTGCTGTGCTGCTGACGTCGGCGCTGTCACTATAATCTATTAACACAAGAATGAATTAATTTGACAATGTATACTTGATGTGTAATTACCTGCAAGGCAACCATAATAAATATCAAATATCGACAATCTAAAATGTATGCGTGCATGTTTCACAAAATCATCAGGATACATTTATGCATATCAACTCTTGGGGATTTTACAATAACAATACATAAATATATTCCCTTTAGAAAGAGGTACATAGTGTCCCTATAAATATCTTTCATACAGCAACAATAGCAATCACATTAAATTCTTAATAATAACCGCATACAAAACGGATATACAGAAATCAATTAATAATTACTAGGCTTAGCTATCAAAATTTTTGTCCTTTTCGTCATTCTCTTTTCCAAACTCTTTGATATATTTTTCCTTTGTTAATTTTTCGTCATGTTCTAGATCCCTGTTCTTTAAAAACTTTTATATCTCGTCTATCCATTGGAGACAGAGGTCTCTCGCTTAATTACAGACTTTTAGCGTAGGTTATTTTCCTAGGTGGGCAGAACACAGATGGCATTATGCCTATTGCTCAAGTACAAACAAACAAAAGAATTAAACATCATCCAATAAAGAACATTTTATTATGATCAACAAATAAACGTAATTTAAGTAAAATATTTATTAGTTAATACTGAAATATATATATAACCTGGAAAATAATGTATGGTTGTGAGTTATGAATAAATAAAACCTGAACAATAATGTATGGTTGTGAGTTATGAATAAATAAAACCTGGAAAAGAATGTATGGTTGTGAGTTATGAATAAATAAAACCTGGAAAAGAATGTATGGTTGTGAGTTATGAATAAATAAAACCTGAACAATAATGTATGGTTGTGAGTTATGAATAAATAAAACCTGGAAAAGAATGTATGGTTGTGAGTTATGAATAAATAGAACCTGAACAAGAATTTATGGTTGTGAGTTATGAATAAATCAAACCTGGAAAATAATGTATGGTTGTGAGTTATGAATAAATAAAACCTGAACAATAATGTATGGTTGTGAGTTATGAATAAATAAAACCTGAACAATAATGTATAGTTGTGAGTTATGAATAAATAAAACCTGAACAATAATGTACGGTTGTGAGTTATG